GTAAAGATGACATGTATAAATTAAGTGAGGAGGTCCACACATTTGCCTTTGATGTTGTCTTTGGACAAATGAAAGGATATCTCACTAATTTATCTATGATGGAGGTATAGTCTGATTTTATTGACCTGTTAGTTATGAATACATTACAACACTCATTTAAATATTTGATCACACTTGGGTTCTGTCTGTGTAGTTCACAAGAATTAATATGGAGTATATATCTAATGTTTTGAAAAAGTCACACAAAAATCCGACAGTCTATCGAAGATATATATTGTGTGCATGGACTATATAATCAGTATGCAATTGACAGGTTAATAAAATCAAACAATACATGCTTTGTGCATTACTTAATCCCATGAACATTTTTATACAAGAAGCATTTGTTTATCGTCATTTTTGATAATGAAAATTTTTGTCATTTGATTTGGTCAAAATATGTGTTTAGGATTTGTATTTTCTATCATGCAGTTGTTATGACCACTTTCTCTTCATAGTGCCTTTTATATGATAAATATTTTTGCCTTCAAAATCATTTGCTGGTAGGGTTATGAAATGTATGAATTTATAAACCTGCAGTAACGTTCTTGTGCTCTTGAACAGTATATTATTTTTGTGGAATATTGAATTAACCCTCATCACACTAAAAATCTTAAAATTTACTTGTCCATCTATTTTATCTTTATGCAAAAAAGGTATCATTTTTAGAGAAAATGTCAAAGCATGTACTGACTGAATAGAGTGAACAGTGCAGACCATGATCAGATGGCATGGATGTAGCAGCTGATCTACACTGCACTGGTCACTTTTCTGCTTCCCAGCTGAGGGTTTATCTTGAATGAATATTTTTATTTTATTTAGATTTGGATGTCAAAGAGTGCTGGTGGTGCTTTGACCTCTGACCTGCCGACCTTCAGTCTGTCACCTCAAGAATATATGACAAAGGTATGTATATAAAAATATCATACTTCATTTTTTCAGAGACTGAGTAAACTAATCTGACTATACAGATGAAAAGATTTTGAGTTAAATTTCTTTCCACTTTGTTTATGATGTTTTGGATGTAGTTCATAATCAAAGCTCTTGGTATTCATGAGTTAAGTTTCAAAGTAAAATAACCAATTATGAATGTTTTAAATCTGGTACAAATTATAGGTTTAGAGATAATGCCTACAGACTTATTTAACTGGTAACAAAAGACATATGTGTATAAATAAATTTACAGTTGTTTTTGGAACCGTGTGAGTGAAAACAAAAATTTGCGTGTTAAAATTTGAGTGTTAAAATTCTTTTTCTTTTTGTTTTCTTCTTTCATTTTATAAGAAATTTACAAGTCTTATGGCAGTGAAGTTTTAAGTTTATGTGTTAAAATTAAACTTTTCACTGTATAAGATTTATTTAAGAGTTGTTGTTGTTGTCATAACTGTTATTCTATTGGAAGTTGAATGGAAATTACGACAACAGAAAATTTCATATACCTATTTTGTTATAAAATGATTATAAATAATAATATGGTTGATATTTACAGATAGGTCAGTTTTTGATGACACTACCACAGCATTTAGAACCGTTTACTATGGAGGATAATCAAGCAGTTTTGGTAGCCCTGAAATATGGCAAACTTCCATATACTGATGAAACTGGTAGGCATTTATCAAATGGACTCCACTGATTTTGTTTTTTTTTTTGACATGCCAGGATTGGAATTATTTTTTTTCTAAGATTAATATATCATTTGATGAAGGTTGGAACCAATAACTTGTGTACAAAATTAGCCAAAAGTAAAGACATATTTGGTTTAGTCCGGCTACGTAGATGCGCCATATGCAAGTGCTCCAAAATTGAAACCTTAAATGTCCAAAATGGCAAAATTGAAAATGCTGCAAGTCATAATAGTTTCCAGTGGTTACTATGTGTGATTGTGGTACTGTTTAAGGTAATTAACCTAATTAACCCATTACCCCTGCTTAATATGTTAAAATGGACTTGTCCAACTTTCAATCTGGACAAAACCTATTCATCATTAAATGAGGAAAATTTTAAAACATGTACTTGCTGAATAACAAACAGTGCATGCCATGACCAGATGGTAAGGATGTCCAAGTTGATCTTAGTCTGCACTGGATAGATTTAGTGGCCTCAAGTAGGCTAAAGGTTAAAACACAATGCAATAATGAAAGATAAAACAAAATCAATGCATATTATTATACAGTTTTATGAATATTTTGAGAAGGATTTTAATGCTTGGTTTTGAACTGTAGGAGACTTCATATATATTATGAAGGAGGGATCATGTGAGTATGTGTAGGCACAAAAAGCTTTTGACTCACCTAACTGCTTGATAGAAATGTTATTATAATACTGTAAATTAAGATAGTTGCATATGCTGTTAAATTCAAGCAAGCAACTTAAATAAAATCTAGTGTCATTAGCTGTAATAGGTACAGTTACAGGTATTAATGTATGCTATCATATGCTTAAGAAATAATATATCCTAAACAGTGATTTTATCGCTCAATAACATCACTGTTTGGAGTTCGGATGTGAGGAATTATATCACGAGGGCGTAGCCCGAGTGATATAATGATGCGCATCCGAACGACAAACAGTGATGTTATCAAGCGATAAAATCACTGATTTGGATATATTATTTCGATTCTAACACGACATCAACAAATAAATGTTGCCGTACTTGATAGTTTTAAGCAAATTTGCGCCTGATTTGTTTCCATACTTATTTTCAGCGCGTCAGATTTTTAGTGGTTACGTTACGTGTATAATGATTACGTCACATGTCTAAATATAGAACGTCAAACTGTGCATCTGTTGCATAATAACACACACTTTCTGTTCTTCTATGTTCAATAGGGAAAAATGCGGGTCGTGTTAGAATACTGAATAACTATCTGCTTTGAAAAGCTTAGTTTTATATGGCACCGTATATACAAATAGGTTTATAATATATGAGAAAGACATATATACATATGGCACTGTATTTCATATAGGTATATAATATATGAGAAAGACATATATACTAGATGAATTTAGATATTTATATACTTTTTGTGCATTTCAATGGACTTTGCTTAAAAGAATGACTTGTGTGTGTGCTAAATACTTGATCTAGTAACAGGAAATCCCAGTATTTGACTCTGGTAACATCCTTGAGATGACATACTTAGTTATTTTTTAAATAACTGCCTTCACACATACTTGAAACTGTCTTCACATAAGTTTGAAATTATAACCACTGGACCACTGCCTTCACATAAACTTAAAGCTGCCTTCACATAAGTTGAAAATTATAACCAAGAGACCTTTGCGTTCACATATACTTGAAACTGCCTTCACATATAGATGTGAAATTTTTCCATATATCAAGTTCAAATTAATACAGTACCCACTACACAGAGCTATTATACTAACCTCATTAAAAAGTATTGTAACAGATGAGATGATTGTCAAAGTAGAGATGTTATGATAGTGCTCCTATCTTCAATATCTTATTTTATTCAACAATGAGAAATTTTACACATTAATCTCAGTATTCATTGTTATTTGTTTGTCTGTTTACTGTAAAGGAACAAGTAAATTATTGCACTTTTTGATTTATAGTTTAACTTTTTATGCTACCAATTAAGGGGGGGGGGTTGTATACAGAATTGCCCTTTGTGAAGAGAAGTTGTGGCAGTATTGAGTAACATGGAAGTACTGGTGAAGAACCAGTTTTATATTTTATATTTATAATACTATAATACTGTTAGATTTGAATTAAAAGATATTTTTTAAATGAACAATTCACTAGTTGTCTTTAAGGTATATTTATATTGAGACTGCCATAATACTTCATTATTTTCAGCATCTCTTTCCTGGTTTTTAAGAAATGGTAAATACATTTGTAGTTGATATATCAACATTTTTTAATTGGTATGACTTCCAGCATTACCTGAACATATTGCTGATTTGTGGCTCGAGTCAATTGCAAGGGGTACAATGCATGTGCTGTGTGAAGAAATAATAAGAATACATGAGTTATCTTCCCATGGAACAAAACAACTTATTACTGATATTGGTGAGTGTAATATTAGTGATGAGTTTTTTATTTGCAAACTTTGCCATCTTGCTCATCTTTCTGGTTGTCCTTCTGTCCATCTGTCACACTATTGTCCAATAAATGACTTGAAAAATATTGAAGTAAATTTGATATAATCTACACACAGTAATAGTCACTAGTGATAGGAAGTGAAAATTTCTCTTTTGCTTATACAGCAGTTATTTATGAACTGATGTCTTTTATATTTGGTATTAACTACCTTTAATGACCCTCTAACTTTGGGTCAAGGTCACTGGTGATAAAAATAGATTATCATACAGTCTATTTTATTGACTGATGCTTTTCATATTTTGAAGGTTAATATTTGGGTGGTCCTCTAAATTTGGGTAGAGTAAAGGGGTTCACTGGTGTTATAATCAAGGTCACCAGTGCTAAGAATAGATTTTTACATTGTTGTACATTGAAATACATTAACAAATGTGCAGGTTTAAGGAACATCCATAGCAATATTAACTATCTTCCTCTGTGTTTTTTTTAATGATAGTGTAAATTTTTAAAACATTAAGCTTTTCTGATAATTGTGTAGTTGTTGTTGTCATTAGAATTTGTTTGATAAAAAATGGAGTGCATTTAGTTTATCTTTCTAAGTGTGGAATACAGATTAATATATGTATAGGGAGTTGTTGTTTGTATACAGCATACTCAAGCTGCATGGGATAAAATATATAATGTTAAATGTTTATATGATAAATACAAAGGAATGAGGTAATTGATCCAAGTATTTTTGTACCCCATGGCTGATTGGAATGATTTGTGTAAAAAAGTTGGCAAATCTTTTCAGTGAATAGGTTTATATACTGCCATGGGGAACAATTCAGGAATACTTATTCTTATGTAATATCATATTATGATCTACCTGTCTGTATATTAAACATCACATGATTACACTTTGACATTTAAACATCATCAGTGATTTAAGTTTCCAGAGACTTTACTCAGGTGAGCAATAAAATGGCTGTCATGGCTCTTTTGATTGTATAAATTAAGTGCTATTGATATTTGTAGAGAATTTTTTTAACAGTACATGTACATTTCTATTAACAGATTACTTGTGTAACGTGTTTGATGACCTCGGTATCCAGGCAACAGAAACGCTGAAGAACATTGATTTATTATTGAAAGCGAACTCTGAAACATTCCACGACATTGCTGAGAATATGCCTCAGAGACTGTCACATGCCATAGGCAATATGAGACATATTGATCTATAAACTGTACCTGTAATAATTGACATTAAACTGTTCACTACTAGATATGAGTGGTGAGGTTCTTAACAATTAGAACTAGAAGAGTTTGATGAAAATGAAAACTCTTAATGAATTAGTTTTGATTGGTGTGCAGCATGGCTTAACTATATGTCTTTGGAAAACATATATTTCTCAAGAGTTACCAACCAAATATCAACTGAATGTTTGTCAATATGTATCCTTAGACATGTTGTTAAGTTGGTGTAATTTGATTATTTTTGGAAGAATAATCGCCCGTTTGTTTTGGGGTCTTATTTTTTAAATATACGAATGTACATCATGCGTGGGCAATAAACAAAAACTGGTTTTGTGACAGCTTGCTGTCTCTTTTTTTATAAGGGAACATATCAGAAGTGATGTAAATTCAGATCAAATCTGTATACATATAAATATGTAGTTAATGCACTCATTTTTTTCATGCCAATATATTACATATTTCATATTAGAACAGCTGAATATCACACTTGAATTGCACTTAATTGCTTTTATTAGTATATAATTTGGAAAAAATGAGTTCTGATATTGTGATATACTGTACAGAGTTACAGAGTTATTTATTGTGCTTACTTATTAACCATTTAAAGGCCCATTATGCCTTAGAAATGAATATTTATTTTACTTCTTAACATGAGTATTATAATATTTAGATAATGGTTTTAGAGCATGCCAGTTTGTGACCTGAAAAAAAGTAGCGCTAAGGTAGCACTAATTTTGAAATTATTTATCATAAAAGTAGCAAAATGTAAACACAATAGTATTTTGACTTCCATACAAAAAACTAAATCACTATAACTGTACTAATTGACAAAATGCAACGGAGGAAACAATGGTTTAGATAATTGGCAAATGAGTAATTATATTTGGAAACTATAGAAGTACACCAAATACAAAAAAACTTTTGAGAAATAAAAATAAAAGCATTTCTCAGGCATAATGGGCCTTTCAAGTTATTTTTGTCTGATATAGTTATAAGATATGGTTATATTGTTATATGAGGGATTGTAAGTTATATCATAAATGTAAATATATGGAACTGAAATAAATTGTTAAAATTTATGAAAGAATTGGACCCTAGTTTACTTTGTCAAAAGTTTAAATCCCATTTCAGTAAAGAGGATGATGAATAATGTAGAAATAACATAATGTTGTTTAAAGAGGCTTTACTGAACACCGCTTAAACCTGCCCTTTCTTTCTTACTTAAATAGAATATATTTTAAATAAAGAACAGAAACACTGAAGCTATACAAAGTGATATTTGTGTGTGTTTTTATACCCCCACAAACGAAATTTAGTAGCATGTTGGTTGTTCTGCCCACACTTGGTTTCCGGACGATAACTAGAGTTGTGAATGAACTATTATAATCTAACTTGGTATATAGGATAGCTACCTTATGTGGAAATCTTTGTTGGTATTGCATTTGTAGCCCCTGGTGTCAAGGTCTCTGGTACTAAAAATAGAAAATTGGTTTCCAGAAACAATAACAAAAGTTAGGAAAGATATATTGTAATCAAACTTGGTATAAAGGAACCAAATATGAAGACCCAGGTTGGTATTGCGTTTGGAATCCCTGGGGTTAAGGTCACTGTTACTAAAATTGAAAAATAGTTTCCGGACAATAACTACAATGAGCAGTGAGATATTGTAATCAAACTTTGTGTGTAGCAAGCTTATATGAAAACCCCGTTCTGGATTGCATTTGGACGCCCTTGGGTCAAGGTCATTGTAACTAGAAATAGAAAAATGTCTCCGGACAATAACAAAAGTTAGGAATGAGTTATTGTAATCAAACTTGGTATATAGTGGAAACCCCGCTTGGGATTGTTGTTGGACCCCTGGGGTCAATATCACTGTTACTAAAAATAGAAAAAGGGTATCCGGACAATAACTAGAGTTAGGAATGAGATCTTATAATCAAACTTAGTATAAAGCAAGCCTATATGAAGACCCCGGTAAGGATTGCATTTGGACCTCCTGGGGTCAAGGTCACTGTTACTTAAAATAGAAAAATGGCTTTCGGACAATACAAAGAGATACGAGTGAATATACGAATATTTGTAATAAAATATTGATTCTTCACTTTTAGTACGAAGCAAACTAGTCTTCATGCATATTCAAAATGTATTATTTTTATTCTTATGCACTGCAACGAACCACTTCGCAACAAGGTCTATAAGAAAAGACAATTTGCCTTGGGAAGATGGATCCCATGTTGGTCTAATAATTTTATGAGCTACCTAATGATTCTTTTCATTTTATTTCATACATACTCGTATAATTTATGACGTTATTGTTATTGTCGATAGTTGGTGGCTTTCATTCAGATCTAAAAAAAATGAAACATTGTAACATTTCTGGCAAATATTTAGCATTTTTGTGACATGCACTGGTATATTCTTAACGCAGATGCAATGCATTTTCATTAGATGTAATATATATGATAATGAACTATTTCAATTATTAGTCTATTATTCCATTATTGTGGAATCCGCTGCCATTAGAGTTGAAACAATCTAAAAATATTGATGTATTTAAGAGAAACCTTAAAACACATTTTTTCAGAAAGTTTGAATCACTATTTTAAAATCTGAAATGAGATAAACATGAGTAACGTATAACTGATGACTGACAGTGTGATGAATGTGCAATGTAAATGAATGTTTTATTCTTTTTAATCTATTTGTAATCAAGTTACATGTATGTTAACAATCTTATATCATGCTACATGTATATCAGTTTCATCATTTTAAGGTCTCTAAAAATTTTTAAAAATATGTTAATTGGAATTGTATGTTAAAGCTTTTATTTCATTTGATGTTGATCCTTATTATATTATATGTACTGTACAACGCCGTTGAATATTGTTAAATAGAAACAGGCGTTTAATTAAATAAAAAGTTTCAAGTTTCAAGTCTACCTGATGATTAAAGGCACATTATGCCACAGAAACAAGTGAATACCGATATTTACAGTATTTGTAGAAAGGACACAAATAAATTCAATAACATTTATATGAGCCGCGTCACGACAAAACCAACATAATGCAGTCTGATCAGGATCCATACTGTTCGCTATCAGTTTCGGTACTTGTAATAGGGTTGGTAAGCGAACAGCATGGATCCTGATCAGACTGCGCGGATGCGCAGGCTGGTCTGGATCCATGCTGGTCGCAAACCCATTATGTTGGTTTTGTCGTGACGCGGCTCATGTAATGATTTTAAAACGTGTTGGCTGATTGTAACCTGATGTAGGTAGCCATAAATGTGAGAAAGCCTGTCTGAAAAGTAGCAAAATGTAAACAGAGTGGTATTTTGACTTCCACACACACAAAAAAAAACAAAATCACTTGTAACTTACATGTAATTGCCAAAAAGCAACAAATGAAATAGATAGTTCAGGATATTGGCCCATGAGTAACTTTTTGAAAACTATAAGTACATCAAAAATAAAAAAGCATTTGATGAATTCAAAAAAAAAAAAATTCTGGGGCATTATGGGCCTTTAAAAGCATTTGCTTATGTGCCAAAGTAAGAACAAGATGTCAACTTTGTATGATATCGACATTGAGGATGTTCATGTCTACTAGCTATTTCTGGTCGTTACCTTAAAACACATACTTATTACGTATTTATTTTGTGCCTTAAAATAGAAAATATTTCTTAAAATCTTTAACGTAATTTGGTAACAAAATGAATGGAAATTTGTTTGAGTGATATCTGGAAAGATATGTATACGTTTATGTGTTATATAATAGGGCTTAATGGCAATTAATGCACACCCAAAGCGTCACATTTCTAAATTTATTTTAGAAAATTCTAGGAGTTAAGACTGTATTATTGACTTACAGTGAACTAAAAATAGCAGTGTGTCTGGGAAATGATGAATGAACTGTCCTAGGAGAATGACGGAAAATTGGATTACGGCACTGCAACTTTGAATGCAATCCAAATTTACAGTTTTTTCCCTGTTTTGATTTTTAGCTGCAAGTCTCAAGTTGTGATCACATTGTAGAATAATCTACATGTGAAGTTCAGGTAACACTATTCATAACTCTTAGAGGTTGCAGTATGTCGCAATGCCACTAAATGTCGCACCATTGCCGCGAAATATCGCAACCACCGTTAAATGTCGCAATGGTAACGGTAATTGTCGCACGATTTTCCCTTGCCGTTAAATGTCGCAACACTACCGTCTAATGGATATAACTCATGATAAAAATATTTATGGTATTGCATACTTTTCATCATAGACCAATTCACTTTACATGCCCTTTTTGTTTGCAATCAAAATGTAAAAACCATTTAATATATTAAGTGCATATAATACTCATCTTTTAACTATATTGATTTGCATGATTTTGCAGATTTATAACTAGACTACTGTCTCACCGATGTGGTTTCGAATCCTGTCAGGTACTTTGTATTCTTTCATGTGATGAAGCTTCCCAGGTAGCTTACGGAACGTCAAAGGTTATACTCCGGTTTCGGTTCAAGAACGTGCATAGAGGTCTTCTCTAGCTGTGAAGCTGGAAAAGGTTTCGGTTCAAGAACGTGCATAGAGGACTTCTTCAGCTGTGAAGCTGGAAAGTCGCTATATATATGGCCTTACCTTAGTGTTGCTGTGACGTTTTAATGTCTAAAAACTAATTAGGACAGGACTTTGCATGTCCTAATTAGAATTTTTAAAAACCTATAAGGAGATAACAAATCTTTGTATAAAAGACTAATTAGAAGCTATATAGTTCAAATTAGGTTTTTATTTTATATACAGGCTTTTGAAACTACTTATTAGGGCTAACTAACACATGACAAAGTCCTATATAAGATTTCATTTCTTAACTACTAATTATATTAGATTTTTTTTGCTATATGGGCTGTTAAAGCTACTTTAGTTATACAATGGCAATTAGGTTTATTTCTCCAAATTATGAGTAAAAATTCCGAATAAGTTGTATCTGGGTGAAACACAGTTGTAATAAGGTGTTTTTTTATATCTCCAATTTAGGAGTATTAAAGTCTTAATTAGGCTTTTAAAACTCCTCATTACCATTCAAATACTGAAAAATCCCGTTACTTGGGTTACATATCCATATGCATGCATATCCGGACATATGCCGGTTACGGGTTTGATTTACTGTATTATCAAAGATAAATATATTGCATTGTGTAACGATGTCAAAGAAAAAGCACATTTTTACCTCTATTGCAGTCTTTAAAGGCACATTATGCCTCAGAAATCCATGTTTTTTTTTTTTAATTCTTTAGAAATCTCAAACATACTAATGTTTTGATACAAGATTTATAGCATGGTAGATGTTTAACAACTGTAGAGGTAGGCTGAATATGTAGTCATATGTCATAAAGATAGCAAAAAATAAGCATAGTAGTACATTTGTATTTTAACAAAATACTAATTCACTATAGTTATACTAACAGAGCAAAAGAAACAAACTGCTGTTTATCTATGTGACAAATTAGTATTTTTTTTATTTATTTTTTTGGAAACTGTAACAAATTAAAAAAAAAAGTTTTTGAGAAATAAAACAAAGCATTTCTGAGGCATTATGGGCCTTTAACTTAAAATCTTTTATTAAGTCAGCTTAAAATAGCAGTAAATATTATTTACATTTGAATTATCTTTCATTTGTATTATTCATATTTCACCTTGTCATCGTTGTACGGAGCCCCTAAGGTGACATTCTCGACACTTTTACCCCGGTATTTAATGCGTTTTTACGAAATATTAATTCGTTTTTACGAAATATTATTTCGTAATTACGAAATATTAATTCGTATTTACGAAATGTTAATTCGTTTTTACGAAATATTAATTCGTAAAAACGAAACGTTATTTCGTTATTACGAAATAATAATTCGTTTTTACGAAATATTAATTCGTATTTACGAAATATTAATTCGTTTTTACGAAATGTTATTTCGTAATTACGAAATATTATTTCGTTATTACGAAATATTAATTCGTAAAAACGAAATGTTATTTCGTAATTACGAAATAATAATTCGTTTTTACGAAATATTATTTCGTTTTTACGAAAAATTAATTCG